GGATCAAGAGACGAGGTCGATGCCCGCAGCCTTAGAGCAGGAGAACGTGATTGTTGTATCATTATTGCTCGTAATAAAGGACCGTTTCAATCTGACCTTTCACCCTTTGAGATATTCTACGGTCGTGTATCCCGGTTGAGCCCTGAGAATTCCCTTGCACAAGGGGCTGTTGACGGTGGTGCTCCCGTTGCTAGAGCAGAGGTCCTCGATGACATCACCAAGCTCGTCAAAGCTGCTATCGCAGCTCGCGAGCAGGTCTTGAGCGATGCTTGTGCTCTTCGCAGGAAGGGACCGCCACCGGTTGGCTCAACTGTTGTTCTTTTCAACCCCAACACACTGGGACGCGGCGACAGGTACGCTCCTGATGTGTACCGCGTGCATGAGATTGTACGCGGGGTTGTTCTAAGATTAGTTAATGCCTCGATCCCACCGGACGAGGTCACATCCCAGTTGATTAAGGAAACTCATTATGCCAACGTTCGCCCTTGTAATCTTCCATCCGGGGGCATGTAGAGTAAAGGATGGTCGATTACAGCAGACTACGCCAGCTCCATTGTAGAGCGACTCCCTTTTCGTTGCGCATGCGTGCTTCTGCACGCGTACTCATGCTCATCAGATCGATCTCGCTATGACCGGGTGGCCCCTTTTTACGACGATTCAGGTCCTTAGGGAGAGGGTTAAGTTTATATAAGAGATCATGAGACTAAGTAGTTCTCCTTTTGAGTCCAAATGACACTTCCGAGTAGTATTAGTCAACGGAAGGCTCCCGCTAATTCCACACACTCATAACCACGAAGGCACCGTCAAGCAGATCATTGTAGCTGAGCTGCTTCAACGGGGTATTTAGCAGATGCTCCGAAAGATTTTCCAGGGCATTATCACATTCACTCGTCCATAGGAACCGGTCTGGCGAGCTACACGGCGAAAGGGCACGATACAATGGAGACAGACAACGAGTGAAATCTGCATGCCTTTCTGGCGACCAAGCAAAAACAGATGCTGAATAGAGTAGGACCTCTCTCGTCTGCTTGAGAACACGTGCAGACGTTGGTGGGGTCTGAAGAACACTCTTCAGTTTTGCCACAGATGTATCGCTCAGACGATAAAACCCTCGACCAAAGTGAATTCCTACACACTCCACCTCTTCACTGGGTGGAAGACTCTTAGGGGAGATTATCTTATCCAAGCCAATTGGTCCCACACGAACAAAGCGATCTCTCATCCTCACCTGGTAGAGAGACGAACCATGTACGAGGAGATCATCTTTCCATGCTACAAGCCAGTGATTCCATGCTCGTCCAAAGACGCGGTTCAGACCAGCAGATAGATGCGGAGTAAAGAGAAGTCCAGACGCCGCGAGCCCCTGAGGACTCACACGATATTGATAGATGTGGTTGAGGACTCTTATGCACAAATGTCGTGATGCATGAGCAGAGCATCTTACACTGTGATAGGCATCCGACAAGTTGATAACACTGTAAGCCACCGAACTGGATGGAATCGCCCCTAGGAAAGAATCTAAGGAAGAGCACATCTCAGCAAGTTCTGTTGGGAGATGTAAACACTGGTTAAGCACTCGTAGATCAAATAACAATCTAACCGCAGGAACACTCTCACCATTAGCTAAATCTCGAGTTGCCCCATCTT